CCCTTGGTCATAGAAATGATGTAATTTGAATATAAATTATTTATAAATACGTATGTCAAGTTATATTTTTATTACTACGTAAAATATATTTAAGAGTTTACGACCACTGTGCCGGGTGAGACGTTGTTGAAACAAAAAAAGTTATGCATTCCATCACGTACATAAACAGTATCGTAATTCGCCAAGTGCAAATCAGCAAATTCGTAAAATTTTTGTTTATTTTGAACAATCCGGATAATCGAAAATCCGGATAATGGAGGTCCGGATAATGGAGGTCCGGATAATGGAGGTTCTACTGTATGCTGAAAATTTATTTTTATTGAATTTTCTAGTTCTTCTGTTGTGGTATTAATGCCACTAAAGGAACTACTGGTATTTGCTTTCGATAAGAATAATTTCAGTCTGTATTGTGGGAATTATTGAAGATGAAGTGGCTTCTCGTTTGCTAGCTTTCCACAGTAATTTCTTTGAATGGTTTTACAAGTAGAATAATTTTTTCAACGAGAGACCACTGATATGGGCTCAACGTAGGAATTTTACTATCTGTAGCATATGTGACAAGGGCCTTTTGCTGTTCCAATATGTAGTATGTAAAACTCCAGCGAGTAGAAACATCTTGAATTAATTTGTGTTTCTGCAAACCTAACTTTTCTTGCAAATTTTCCAATTTGATTACAGCTACAGCAGAATGATTAAAATGCGTGACAATATTTCTATTAACTGTGATTATAGTTTTCACATCTTGTTCAGAAAATATGCATTCGTTTAATGTCAGCTGCAGCGTATGTATAAAGCATGATAATGCTTCTAAGTTGAATTTCTAATTCCAGCTACCAGATTTGCTGCAGAATCTCTTAGTACTAAGAATATCTTATCACTTGTCAACTTATACTCTTCAAAAACAATTTTTAACTGTTCACTGATTCGTGTAGCTGTGTGGGAACCTTTAAAGGAAACAATTTTCAAAACAGCTCTTTCCTGCTGAAAATCATTCTTCAACCAGTGGGCTGTTACACTTAAAAAAGGAGAATTGTTTGTAGTTGCTGTTCAAATATCAGCGGTTAAAAAAATATATTTTGTTCTGTTAAACACAGAAACACTACAGCTTTTTAAACAAAGTCGAAGTTTCCATGTGTCAACAATTAAGTGTTGAGATTTATTTTAGAAACAAAGGAAGAGTTTGTTGATTTTGCGAGGATATTCGATCGTCTCTTGTTTACCTGACCCCAGGGAGATGGAAATATCAGGTTGAGAAAAATGGGTTTTTTCCACATTATAATTAACTGTATAATTAACTCCAGGATCTCACACTATTAATGCAATAAATTATTAACACTAATCGGCCGATTAATCGGTATCGGCCGATAATGCATGGCCGATTAATCGGTAATAGGCCATTTTGCTTATCGGTTTATCCTTAGTTAAAATTCGTAGATTCGAATCATATTTCAATTTAATTTGAAGTTACGAAAAGAGAGATTCCTTCGCTACACAATCGACTTAAACCATTAAAGTAGATACTATCATAATTGCATAAATAAATTTAATATCTTATTGTGTAGTTATCGTATTTGTTATTATATATATATATATATATATATACAGGCCTATATTGTTAATTTACTTGCCATTCCTTATAATGATGTTTATTTAATGCAGACTTACTCTTTAATTTAGACTCTCTTGTGCATATTACTGTATAAACAGCAGTAATGGAAATTGACTCTGAAGACAGATATGCTTTCTCCAAATTCTACGTAGATCGAAATTTCACCATCAATTATCGAAATGTTCTCAATAATATGATAGAAATAGAAGAATTTGTTTCGTTTTGCCTGCACCAAATGTTTCGCGATGGTAAGTTTTAATTTAAATAGCAATTTGTATTAAGAAATATTTAGTTGATTTCTAATGAAATCACTCAAATATTTTAAACAAAGAAAAACTCACGAAATCTAAAATTTCTATTATTGAATTATAAATTGACATGATGTATCCACAAAGGTGAAAACGAATGATAACGTCTATTTTTGATTAATTGATCATTTTGTATAGAAAATAAATTATATTTTAATTACACATTAGATAGGCTCGCTTATCAGCCTACTATTTATCATATAGAAAATATTATTAAATTTTTCTTGTAGAATAACTGTATTCTGTAATTCTGTAATAACTAATAGCGGCGTACCGTCCGTGGAAGCTGTGGAAGCGACTCTTCCCTCGTATTTTCTAAAATATAAATACATGTTGCGCGATTATTTTCATATTTTAACGTACTCTGAGTTACTTAAAATTAATATTTTATTACAATCGCATTATGTATTTTATTAAGAATTTCTGTACATGTAAAAAACAATGATAAGATTGCTATTAGCCTATATATTTGAATATAAATTCTTATATGCGTATTCCCAACGGGAAGCTCTGTATCGTCGAATACGGGACAGCGAAAATATTTGAATGGTGTAGGCTGTCAGATTGTACGCTTTCGAGTGTGGGCTTAACAGAGCACCGACCTCGCGTAGTTTAGCCGGTGGATGCTACGCACCAAAATATGGTATAACGCTTCCAATGATTTCATCCATTAGGCACTGGTAGGAAGCTATTTGATTAAGTGGATTGTTTTAAGATTTAAATAGTAAAGATGATTTTGTTTATTTTTATTCTAAATTACGTAGTGAATTGCAATATTTATATTCGCGAGTCACTCTTAGACAAAAAAAAAATTATTATAGTTAATGACGATCTGAACAAAGGTGTACTAAAAGAATTATATAGGTAGGCCTCCTACAACGCGGTAGATACGTTCCTTGAAAATACCGCGTTGTGGGAAATCGCGTAATAGGAGACACCAACTCAATACAAAAACTGGGACTCGGTTCTAAAAAGAGAAAAACTTGGCGTTTGAATGGCGTTTTTTGGATTTTTCAAACCAGCCATTGGTAGCCACGAATTTAACACTGGTTTCATCAGCTGACCAGTGGCGTAGCGTAGTGGGGGCAGCAGGGGCTGCCCGCCCCGGGCGGCACTTTTAGGGGGCGGCAAAATTTCACAATAAATAATAATAATATCTTGTAAAAATTTGAACCATTTCATTTCATATTTTTGTCGCACCGACGATTCGGACCGATTGAAATGAGCACGGAATTGTTCATTATTTATTCTGTGACGAAACTGAATTTTAGTGTTTTAAATTAAATTGAGATACCTAAATAAGGGAACAGCGAAATTTTTCTCCGCCCCGGGCGGCTGACACCCACGCTACGCCACTGCAGCTGACGACTGTCCCATTTGTTTTAAATAATGAAATATTTTTAAGGCTTTGTGTTTAAGTGCAGTTTTATTTAAAGGCAACCGTTTCTTGTTCATATCTTCTACCCATAATATTAGCGCTTGTTCCAGTTTTTACATTATAGGTGCTCTTGGACTATCAACATTTTTTCGCAAGAATAGATGATCCGGATGCGACCAAATTTCTAATCTTTTCTCCCGATTGCTTAATCGACCGAATAGTCGACTCATTTAAATTAAAATGCCTACTAATATCAGCTATCCGCTCTTGATTTTTAATTCGATCCAAAATTTTTGAAGAGTTATAAATTTCCTTTTTAACGACGTACTTTCTTTTCATTCGGCATTGTTATAGCTAAAAATTTTTCAATCAGTTTTGTGGACAGCAAAAATAACTTTTCTTCACTTTGTTCTTAAAAATATACTCCCAATAGAAGTTTATACTGTATTTTGGACCATTTTTTCAGTCCCCACTTATTGAAACAGTATAAATGATGGAAAATTTAGTGATATATTTCAGTGTTTATGGTAACTGATACACATCTGTCTAGAAACCGGTCTTCCCCTAAAACTTTCAAGAGAATAAATAACACGCCAACGGCGACAAAAAGCTGTTTTCAAGGACATTTAGTTCTGTATGCCGAACTGCGGTTCGTATCACGTAATCCGTTGCGATTTTTCTGTTATGTGAAAGATAATTCGTTTCTAAATACCGTAAACCGCGTTGTAAAAGTACCGCGTTGTAAGAAAATTTCCGCATTTTTTCAACCGCGTTGAAGCGAAAACGCGTTGTAAAGGTACCGCGTTGTAGGAGGCCAACCTGTATTATTTAATATCATTAATTTTTAACCAGTTTTTCAACCATGAAGCTAATTCATACTTCTGCAAGGAATATTCAATCAGAGGAAAGAGTGTCGTCANTTGCGATTTTTCTGTTATGTGAAAGATAATTCGTTTCTAAATACCGTAAACCGCGTTGTAAAAGTACCGCGTTGTAAGAAAATTTCCGCATTTTTTCAACCGCGTTGAAGCGAAAACGCGTTGTAAAGGTACCGCGTTGTAGGAGGCCAACCTGTATTATTTAATATCATTAATTTTTAACCAGTTTTTCAACCATGAAGCTAATTCATACTTCTGCAAGGAATATTCAATCAGAGGAAAGAGTGTCGTCAGTAGCGTTGCTTTTAATAGAAAAACAGCTTTTAAATACTTTGATGGAACCTACGATAAGCGATTTTTATAACGAAGTAATTAAAAATTTTGCGAAAGAAAATCGCCGAATAGAGTTGGTTTATAAAAAATAATAAAAACAAGTTTTTACATCTTTGTTTCCTGTCAATGTATCTATTTTAAAATAAAAATCAATAAACTGTTTATTTTTGTCATTTCCTGTAATTGTTTAAAATTTTTCAATCAAATGTACAGTACGCTACTGATAACTACATATAAATACAAAATAATAGGTAAAAGTTTATTGTAAAAAAACAAATAGATTACAGATTTAAACAGATTACCCTCTGATCCATTGTTTACTTGTCAAAAATTTTTAATTTATTTTTCAAATATAATGTGAGCCACCGGGAGGGAGGAGGAGTCCTCGCCTTCTGGCCACAGGTCGGTGACCTACTTTCTTGTCAGGGATGGCGTTTCGTTCAGTTTCGCGTTACGCGAGTGGAGGAGAGAAGAAGGGGTCGACGATAAGACGTTGGCAAAGTCGAGTAACGTCACCATTTAAAACAAAACAGCGGTTTATTTTACTAGCTAAGTAAAAATTTTACAAAACTTCATAGACTTCGCAGATGAGAGAGAGAGTTTACAATAATAATCGTTCATACCTCTTTGCATACACTAATGGGATATTTTCCCGTAATGTCGTCCTTTATGGATTCTGAGCGGTGACACAAGTATAGGTCGGCGACGAAAGTGTAGGTCTGCGATGGGAGTGTAGGGTGGCGATGGAGAAGGCGATGTCTGACTTCGACGTTCGGAGATTCCCCCGAGGAGGGGAATGTGCCGGGCTTTTATACCTTTATCGGTGGGAAAAATTAGTCAGGTGATCAATTGTTTTAGCAGGTGTGAGGTTAAAGGTGGCGATAGAATGACTACAATATGACGAATTTCGCCCGTAATTGTAAACAATACATGGTTTGATCGTGAGAGTGTTTATAATAAGATAGAAAGAGTTATAACTTTCTCATGCGCTTCATATTTTGTTTTTACAGGTGCAAATTCCTCTAGTTAAAGGAATTTATCAAAAATTTAAAGGATGAAATGCTTTTATTACATTATATAAACTTCGAATTTCACAATAATAATAACAATTATATTAAAAAATATCTGAACTTTAATAAACTTGCTCTTTATACTGAATAAGTCGCACAAATATCAAAAGAAATAATATAAATGTTAATGATATTCTTCTATGAAAATTCAGATATGAAAATTTGAAGAAATTTGTATTGAAATTTTTAAAATTAATTATTGCACTTTGAGTATATTTTTTATACTTTTATTTTAAAGATTATCTCGAGTGAAAGTTTCCTATTCTAATAAAACAATACAAAAATATTCATTGTGTTTTGATTCATTTTAAGAACTAAAGTAAATATTCCTTTTTGTTCTAACAGAAGCCTTTCGAGGCAAGAGAATTCTTGACGTAGGATGTGGCCCGACCGTTCACAGAATGGCAGCACCGAGTAAATATTTCTCGGAAATTGTTTTGTCTGATTATACCGAGAACAACCGTGAAGCTGTTCAAGAATGGTTAAAAAAACGAAGCATCGTCGAAGGATTGGGATACTTTGATGCGAATGGAAGCATTACTTGAAGGATACGGGTATGTTTTATGAATTTAGTTTATTACGTATAAAATTTATTAAGTACAGTAAAACTTCTGTAAGTAAAACTTCTCCAAGGGGCAGAAAAATCTTCGAGTTACAGATTCAACGTACAGAACAATAAAGTAAAAATTCCCGATTCTGAATAAATTTGTATTTTTCCTCTCTTGCATTATATGAAGAATCATCTTTCCTAGTTTTTTGTTTTCTTTTTAAACAACCCGTGTAACGCCTTTCGGCAAAATGTTTAATATAACTAATGGAATCGAACAGTTTTACAGGTACAGTAATACCCCGAACTTACGCGATAGGTGGGACCGAGCGGTAACCGCGTAAGTCGAATTCGCGTAAGTCGGGGTATAATTTCGCATATAAATACATACAAATAATTTTTAATTGGGGCCGGAGACTAAAGAAAACAATAATTTACAAAAAAATGTTTAATAAAATCTTAGATAATACATATGTATAACAAATTATATTATTATACAATTTTTCACATTAACTTGATTATCAAACCATAATTTTAACATTGTTTCCATCTCAGCGATAATACCGTGACGTTTACGAATGATGCTCGAATTTAAAGATTGAGCATTTTTCGCAGCTTCGAGAATTTTTTCTTTGCCTTTTATAATTGTTCTGACCGACAATTCCGGTAGATCAAACTTCTTTGCCAATTCACAAATTTTCATTTTTGTATCGAAGTCTTTAATAATGGGTACGTTCGTAAAGTCAAACGAGTTAAACGCGTTAGTAACGAATCGTTCGAAATCCCTAAAGTTAACATCCCCAATGTTAACTTTACAGTCCAAAGATAAAGTTTTTCTTTTCTTGTTTGATGCAGAAGAATTAGTTCTACTTCGTATAGTAGAACTAGTAGAGTCTCACGAGTCTCCGTAGATATAACAAACACAGAAATACATAACACAAAATAAATTGTAGCTATGTGTGGATTCCGCGCGACACATCCGAACATGTAAGCTGAACAACAGTGTGGGGGGAGTGAGTAATCGAGGGTTGCGTGGCGCTCAAACAAAAGACGAATCGACGAGATTTGAAAATCGCGTAACTCCGCGTTCGCGTAAGTCGGGGTAGCGTAAGTCGGGGTATTACTGTACATCTTGTTGAGATAAAGCCAGAGGACCTCTCCTTTTGGACTGGAACGTTGTATGCAAATTAGTGTTGAAGAATAGACAATTAAATGTTTGAACATTTTATGGAAATCCGAAAATTAGAATCACTTTGGATAGAATAAATATTAAAATTCGAGTCGAGGAAGTTAAAATTAACGTAAATCGGTGTCGGGTAGCCACGAAAACCTTCGAGTTGGAGAAAATTTGGGTTAAAAAAATTCAAGTTGCAGACAGTAAATCCTATGCTGTTCCATTAAGACCTATCGAGTGTTTCCTTTCTTCGAGTTAATATTCCAGTTAAGAACATTTAAGTTAGAGAAGTTTAATGTATTGTATGTATTGTTGTAAAAGAACAAAAGTATATTAGTTAATTGTTAACATTAATATACTTAAATTTGATAATCCAAGATTAACGAAGTTATTGAAAAGACATAATTGTAGCATATATTTGTAGGAACTGCACTCAGTAAAAACGTTTTTACACTACGACTATAAATTGTATACATAGTAGTAAATGAGATAAGAATATGTGCTGGAAAATTTCCCACTTTATTTTCAGATTGAGTTACAGATTGAGCACCAGAAGTAGAAAAATTTAAGTAGAAATTTTTACGTATTGTTTATCATCTTTAGTTCCCAGCAATTTTTTTATATTAATGTAATTAAACATAAAAAATAAATATTTAAAACTGAAAAAAACGAACGAAATGCGTTAATTTTGAAGAAAAAGCTTCACACTTTATTTTCCATTGTCTGGCCTTTCTGCGAAATTTAACACCAATGAGTCATTGTTTACACAGCTGGATGACCTTGAACACAGCTGGAGTTGGATTTTCCGGGATATTCTCATAGAAATCTCGGGAGGCGATGGGTTTATAGCAGGGTGAATACTAGCTGGTCGTATATTTTTAAATATTTTTAAAAACTTAAAATTTTTATTGCGATTTCCGACCCCCGACTTAATTAAACATATATATAATAAAATCTATTAATTAAAAAAATTAAAAAACTATCAGAGATCGTTTTTGATATCAGAAAGTAGGTTTAAATAACTTTCCCGAAGGAAAATCAGTGCACTACACGGATTTTCCTTCGCTAGAACAATGAATGAAATTTGATATCAAAATCCTATTAAAAAACAATTAAGCGTTAATCGCGCGTAATTAAAGGTTGATTAAAATTGCGGAAAAATTTTTCCCGCGCGAAAAAATTTTTGAAAAAATTTGGAGACAAAAAACATTCCAAAAATTCAAAAAAAATTTGGAGGGATCGAAAGGACCGAGTTTTCTGTAACGTTATGTAACCTTTCCGAGTTAACTCGGAAGAACAACTAAACGGGATAATTATATAATTATGTAGCAGGATAATGTGTCTATCATGAAATGGATTTTCTTTTAAAATAGTATTAGCACAAAATAGGCAACTGCAATATCATTATCGTTCATGAAAATATTGGCAACAGCTCTTGTACCTTCCGCGTGTAGTTTAGAGGTTATGGGACCCGGGAAGTAATTTCGATAATTAAGATCATAATTTCGAAAAGTTAGAAACATGAAAAGCTTATTTTGGAGAATAGAGGTGACTTTTAAAAAAATTGTACGTGTCCGTAACAAGTAAAATTTCTATTAAGTGTAATTCCACTCCAGATGTTACCGTTTATCGCCTGTAGACTTGTAATTACAAAATGTAGAGGAAAGTTGGGCAATGATGTTCAGAGTGCAATCCTACTTTGTTATGTATCTGGAAACAGAATGGAACTGTGAATGTCAAATTGGTGTAGCCCGATTGCAAACGTTATCATAAGTCTATAGTAACATGGTGGTCGCCATTAGAGGCAGAGTTTTATTCTTTCATTCGTATGGTTTTTGAGGTAATCTCAAACAAAATTTTGCAAATTTAAACTGAGGATAAATACATACTTATTTTAGATTGTTAGTTTTAATTATTTTGTGTATAAGCTGCATATATTTAGCTTAACATCCCTACCTTTCGTTTGATTTATAATATGCTATGAAGGCAAACACGAGAAACACACGACCCCCTTTATCTCCTTACTCCATCGACCTTTATCCACGAAAATATAAGTGTCAATCCCCTCATAAAACGAACTTCCTTGCAAAGTTTCAGAAATTTTCGACAAAGAGCACAGGATTTATTAAGCTTCAAACAGGTTGAACAAAACCGTGCCACACCCACTAACTTCCATACATACAGAAATAATCCTTCAATTTTTTTTTTTTTTTTTTTGAATTTTTCGACGTTTGAAAGTGTTATAAATTCAAAAATGTAAGAAATCTGGGGAGCCATCTTCTGCCGGATCGCCATACTTTCCCTCTGTTATAAAAGTTGAGAAAGTAAAAGTTCACAAATTCCAACATCTACTACAAAAAATCACAAACTAGAGGCGATAGAAAGAGAAAATGTAAGAAGACCCAGAGAAAAATGCAAAAATTGGTCAGACAAAGACTGTAGAAACACCAAATAATTATAAGTGTGACCATTGTTGTATGTACTGTTGTACAGTACTTACATTACTGAAATTTAGTGCCAAAGCCTAACCATTGAGCAGTAATACCCAACGTGGTCGGGCATTCACGATCGATACGATAGATGGATAACATTGAAAACTGATTAATAAAAAATATTTTAAACAACTTGTATGTCAAGTAAATAAAAATAAATTGTAAAGAACATTTTAAACTTATATTTTACTAATAAAGTTTTGATGTTTGTATAAATTTGAGTGTTAATTTAGTTATCACTTAGGTGCACGTCTTTATCCTACTTTTCTCTAATACTTGTAACATCGATGTTTAGGCAGGATGGCCGACTACTCTGGGAGACCAGGATCCAATCCGAACGAGTCGCAAAATCTTCAGGAATTTTTCTAGGGTGTATGTCGGCCTTGTCCTTCACCACCCGTCCGCCCCATTGTAGGCCTGACCGAACGTATAATGGGCTTACTAAAACAGGCACTCTTAGTTCCCACAGGGCGGAAAGAGTTAATTTTCTGGAAACTTACATATAGGGTTTCTCATTTCCCGGTCTTTTGCTTGTCCCGAGATCCCGGGATAAAAGTGAACTGTTTCCCGGGATCCCGGGAAATCCCGGGATAGAATTAATTATTTTTAAGGTATACAAAATATCTTGAAATCAAATGATATAATTATTTTCCATTTTTTAAAGTAATTTTAAAGTTCTGTAACCTCCAAAATCATATTAATAATGCTGTGTAAGGTCTATAGGCCTATAATAAAAATTACCTTTAAATAACGTAGAAATTTTCACAAATAGAAAAAAATTAATTAAAGTTTGCTGGAAACTGCATACAACAACAACAAAAATATGTTTTGAATTGAGTTAAAAATTAAAAAAAATGAACTTCCAATTTAGAAGGTAATTTTCGTTTTTTAAATAAAATATAATACAAAATATTGCAAACTTTTATAAGATTTTAAAAAGCAAAGATGGTCAATACTCCGATAACTCACTCTAATTCTTATTTTAGTAATGAAAAGTCTTGCCACCGAGAATGCCCTTTCCGATTCAATTGATGTGATTGGAATAGTGTTTAATGCATTTAAGAGAAGACAGATATTATGTGTTTTTTCACCCGTAGCCAGAAAGATTTCGAGTTCGTTTTCGAGATTGTAGTACTTCTTTCGCTCTCTAGTATTCCTCATTTGTCTACCTTGGCTACTTTAATAGCGGCATCAAGCTTAGAGCTCGATAATTCGGCAATTCATTTGGCTTTAATAATCAGGTTTATGAAGAAAAACTTCATACTTGCAGACTTTGTACTCGTTTGTATCCTTGCCCAATTTGCACAATCTGGCGTCAGGCATTTATTGAAGCTACTGGGCATGGTTAAAACTCAAGACAGCGTAAGCACAATTATTCCAGATATTACAGGTTCCGACAAGTAAAGAATTTTTATAATCCTGCCACAAATAAGCTATATATTGATTATTGACCATTTGTGACATGCTATAACGAGCAAAAATTAAAAAAAACTAATAGGTAGGTTTAAAATTAATAAATACAAATGTATTCTGACAGTGAATGAGTTAATTATGCTTTCTATTTGCAAAATTCCTCAACCTTAACACAAAATAAGAAAAAAAGTGAATTTTTAAGAAATTTGCGGGATTTCCCGGGATAAGAAAAATTTCCCGGGATATTTCCCGGGTTAAAAAAACAACCGGGATCCCGGGATCCCGTTTGAGAAACCCTACTTACATATTAATGGAAATTAATTAATTTTAAATGCTATTTTGTTAATTTTGCAGCAGTGACAACGAATAAAAAAATAGTTTCGATTTTATTGTCTGTAGTACACTTTAAGAAATAAAAGGAGTAACATTATTTTCTTAAATTGTCATTATTTGTATGCCATAAATATAAAAAAGTCAATTACGTAATAACCATATTAGTGTCGATGTTATATTTTTTTCGTGATATCTACTAAAGTGATTTACATTATAACGTTTGCATACTTAATTTAATAACTTATATGTTTATTCACAATACTTATTATAATTCACTTATTTAATTTGAATTATTTATTTGAACAGAAACGTCGAAGAAGGAATAAACGAAATTAAACTTCGATTTAGACAAAAAATAAAAGAAGTAATTCCTTGCGATGTCTTGCAGAAAGACATCATTTCCTCGGACGTCGGAAAGTTTGACGTGTTGTTTACCTCTTTATGCTTAGAAGGGGCTTGCACCACATTAGAGGATTTTAAAGCGGCTGTTAAAAATTTTAACAATTACATCTTGCCAAATGGAGGATTAGTAATGATGGTGGTATTGAACGCTACCTATTATTTTGTAGGAAAGCGTAAACTTTCAGGTCTTTCGGTAAGTCAAGAGTTTGTAAACGAAACATTGACGAAAGCTGGATTCATGAAAAAGCATTGTTATCTTATAGAAAATAATGAACAACATCCGGTTGGTAGCTTTAGCGGATACTTAATATTATCTGCTATTAAATCAATTTAACAGAATTTATAAATTGCTTACACTTAAAGTAAATTATACCACGTATGACAAGCTAATTCATTTTTTAATTTTAGAAGGGAATATGAATGTATTAATTTTAATATGAATGAGATAAACGTTCGACTCTACAGTATATCTCAGGAAAAGAATTTAAGCATAAATATTAGTATTAAGAGCAATGATGATATTATTATTCTTAATACTAATATCATCGTATATCTCAGGAAAAGAATTTAAGCATAAATATTAGTATTAAGAGCAATGATGATATTATTATTCTTAATGGAATACCTTATTTTTTGATTTTATAGTCTTATGCTACTTTATATATGAAATAATAATAATATAATTATACCGAATATTCAATACATGCTGTGTACTAAAATCATCACATATAAAAGAAGCATAAATATTGATATTTTAACAATTCTATTATTTTTAGTTAATGTAAAACGGATGTTTTACGTAACCTGATGGTGGAATAAAGTGTGAATAATTTAAGAATCACGAAATACTTTTATTCGAAACAGAACTTCTTAATGTTCCTTTCTGCACAACTGTAGTTAAATTTTCAGAATAATATTAGGATTGTCCAACTGAAAAGTGGACACGTCATATCTCATCGTGTAAAGTAGCAATCGATGGGCGGTACTTACAGGTGAGTAAGTTCAACTTAGGCGAAGCTCGTGCTGCATTAAGTATTGGCGGGAATAGATGTTATCTTCAGTAATTGACAGTTTAACGCTAAGTTAGTTACAATGGAAGCGTCCAGAATCGCTTCCATCGTAACTAACTTAACATTAATCTGGTTTTTAGTGGCTGAAGGTAATAGGAATGCCGATATCTATAAACGAATGAAACACATTTATAATGGACATTGTTTAGAATAAACGGAAGTGAATAATTGGTGCAACGGGTACAGACAAAACCGCAAGTATATTCGGAATAAGCCGAAACCAGGTCTGACACACTCCGCCGCATCAATCGTTGCTGTGGACGACACAATCGGAAGTGACAGACGAGCTACAACTCGCACATTCGCGAATTTGAGCAAAGCTTTCTTTGCTCATATTCGTAGGCAAACATTCACGTCGGACAGTAAAGTGAAAGATAGAATGGGAGAATTTTTCACTAGCAGATATAGGAATTATACGCGAGGGTATCGCTCTGCTTGTGAGGCGCTGGGATCTTTGCCTAAACAAACATTCTTTTAGATTCGCAGTAAATGTTTGCCAGTTCTGATACGTGTCCACTCTTTATTTGGGCAACCTTTAATATTTTACATTAATGAACTTTCAATTTTGCTACTAATTAGTTTAAGAACTACCCCCAAAATTTATTCTAGAGAAAATTAAATTGCGACAATCGTTTTGATATTTGTTAGTAATATTCGGACAAAAGTAAAAATCAGTGTTAACAGATAAATTGTAAAAAGAATGTTGTTAATACTAGACAACTCGTGACCCGTAGAGTCATTTACTACTTTGTGACATTAGTCTGCAGCAGGAAAGCATTTTCTAATAATCAAACTTTACAATCAAAATATCAAAGTTTTGTTTCATTTCGCCTGAAAACGTCATTAGACGTTAAAACTAAATGAACATTCTTTAAAACATTTATTAACATATGTTTACCAGCAGAAACAGATAAGAGTAAAGATTAATTATATAGGCCTATATATAATTACGTTTGGCAGGATCGTCGCGCGGTAACAATCGTGTGGGTGAAAAAACTCTCTGAGACAGGCTTTCCCTCTTTAATCTGTTTAATCCGTTTAATAAAATTAAAAATTAAAAACATAATTCTAATTAAAATTTAAAATTATGTTTACAACTTTTCTTGTATTGTAAGAGTAAATTTGTTTTGTAATAAAGTCTTTCTACGATTTGGAAATTTGTTGTTTATTGAGTAGCGAAAAGTAGCGACTTTTCAAAATACCTGTGGCGAAATCGGTGACTTATTTACGAACGGTTGGGAACACTGGTCTGAGGTATGATGTCAAGTTAGTTGTTGCATCGAAGTATTGTATTTTTTCTACAATAATATATATTGATTATTGGAGTTTTAGTCTAACTTTGTTCCGTTCTTTTTAGTTTTTATATAAGTAATAGTAGAATTATTGTTTACGAATGTAGTTTATGGCCAGTTTGATGCAAAGACGGATTTATCGACGCGACTTATTAGTTTTCGATCACATAGGCATTGTTCTCTACATTTTAATTTTCCAGAAAACAACATAATGGATATTGGAGTCTCGTTTTAGGTATTTGCATAGTTTCACACGCAACTGTTAATAAATTTGCATTATCAGATAACTCAAAAAATCGCATTTAGTGTTTGCATTCGGCATTATTTCACCCGACCACTTTTGATTGCCGCTGTATAACTGTACACATTTCATCACAATGCCTAAAGATGAATAAATTAGCGAATTTTAACATTTTCAATATTAATATTAGCATAATACGAGTATATAAATTTTCGTGGCCAATTTTTCAAGTGATTCATCTATTAGAAGAAATTTCAGTACTGTTATTTCACCTAGCACCCTGGACATACAGTCAATCAATCAATCGTTTTTATTAGGTGCTCGAGGCACATAGTCAGCACCGCAAGAGCACAGCTGAGAAAAATTATATACACTTACAATAGTACATATTAACAGTGTATACAAAACTGTCAGTTAAATACAAAATATTACAGAGAGAATAATTAATACATTAATACAGAATAACAATGAAATATTATTACAGAATAGAAGTATACAGAGTTATTATATGTAGAAAATATTGCAGACAAAGTATTTAGAACTTAATAACTAACATAAGAAAAATAAACTTAATAACTAAAATTAAAGCTAAGAGAGAGTTCAATGGAATAATATAGAGGAAAAGTGTGCAGAGAAAACACCGGGAGTAACTCCATATTCTCTTGAAATAAGTCCGTTATGGAGGTACCACAAAACTCCTTGGAGTAAACTTGTCCATAAGGGCCTCCAAGACACCTTGAGTACTTGTAGAACGAGTTTTGCAGAACAAGTCTTGCAGGACAGAACCGCCAGGAATAACTCCATATTCTCTTGAAATTAGTCTGTCAGGGAGGAACCACAAATACTCCTCAGAGTAAACTTGTCCATAAGGATCTCCAAGACACCTAGAGTACAGGAGTACTTACCGAACACAAAATGCACTTGCAGAACAAGAATTAGACGAGGTCAAAAGTATTTCATGTGTAGATTGATTCATGGTAACTTATGTAGTAATTGATTAAAGCAAGAACAAAAATAATCAGGAGTCAGTTTATCGAAATTTTCATTGATTCCATCAGATTTATCAGGTTGGATGGTGTGAAGTTCAGAAGAAAC